ATTGAAACTAAATAATGATATTCAGCGAGTTTAATTATTTTACAATGTAACGCAAGTGCATTGTAAGTAACTAATTAAAATACCTAAAAATGAACAGTAATTAGTTACTCTACTTTTTCAGTGGAAAAGTAATTTAATTACAGTAACGCGTTACTTAGTAACGCATTACACCCAACACTGGAAGTTAAAAATGCATGCCATGAAAGAGTTTGGGTGTTTGGAGGTTAAAGTACCACGTTACAATGATTATTTGCTTTAGTTTATATATCCACTGCCTTGAATACACATGAACGTTATAAAGTTTACCTTACTTGTTCTGGTGGCAGGTCAGGTGAGCTGCCTCCAGAACAAAAATAATTCATTGGACAAGGATGAGGGTGTAGTCAGGCCAATAAAAGCTCTTGATCGTGTTTGAATTAGTCATTTCTTTCTGACTTGAAACTGCATACAGTTGCTCAACACAGGCAAACTGACACTGATAAGGACAAACAAAAGGTAATTTTACAGTCGATTTCTTTCTTCATTATTAATGAATAATTAGTAGTTATCTATTAAATATCAGTACAGCATTATGAACTGACTGCAAAAGTAACATTTCCTAATATGTTTTTCAAACGTTATCATCAGATTTCATTTCTGCACCATGAAGATGCTGACTGTGTTTCTGCATGTGTGTGTCATGATGACTTTCACACACAGTCTATGTGAGTATTTAAAACAAGTATTTTTTCTTCTCACTTCATCTACTTTATAATATACATATATACTCTGCAGATACAGAATATACATGCAACACATGACCAGATAATGGAATATCTTAGATTTTTCACAAAAAAAGAATTGTGTTTCAAATAAAACGTCTTTCAAACTGTCTTTGCAGCTCTTCCAGAGGAAACAATCATGCCAGGTGAATCTAAAAGTTGTCTTTTAATGAGAATATATTTTTTCAACCCATTAATAAATAATGGAAGTTATTGCACTACAAAATTAATTGGAACCAAAGAACATTTTAACTCATGCAGATGTAGACAATTGGGGGACACCGCCACCATCTACAGAAGGTGAGTACTTATTGGAGTATGTGATTTTCTTTTATTCTATTTTATTTTTTTCCTTTTTTAAAATTAAAGTTGATCATAAGAAAAATCTATACTGTACAGTCGTGGCCAAAAGTTTTGAGAATGACAGAAATACTTGTTTTCACAAAGTTTGCTGCTTCAGTTTTTATGATAGCAATTTCCATATACTCTACAGTAGAATGTTTTGGAGAGTGATCAGATGAACTGCAAAATCCTTATTTGCCATGAAAATGAACTTAATCTCAAAAATTCAATTTTCACTGCATTTCATCATTCAGCATTTCATGCCATAAAAGGACCTGCTGAGATCATTTTAATAATGTTCTCATCAACTCAGGTGAGAATGTTGACAAGCACAAGGCTGGAGATCATTATGTTATGCTGACTGAGTTAGAATAACAGACTGTATGCATTAAAAGGAGGGTGATGCTTGAAATCGTTGTTCTTCCTATTAAACATGGTGACCTGCAAGGAAACACACGTAGCCATCATTGCGTTGCATAAAAAGGGCTTCACAGGCAAGGATGTTTTTGCTACTAAGACTGCACCTAAATCAACTATTTATCACATCATCAAGAACTTGAAGGAAAGCGGATCAATTCTTGTGAAGACGGATTCAGGGTGCTCGAGAAAGTCCAGCAAACACCAGGATCGTCTCCTAAAGATGATTCAGCTGCGGTATCAGAGTGCCACCAGTGCAGAGCTTGCTCAGGAATGGTAGCAGGCAGGTGTGAGTCCATCTGCACGCACAGTGAGGCAAAGACACTTGGAAGATGGCCTGGTGTCAAGAAGGGCAGCAAAGAAGCCACTTCTCTCCCAAAAAAAACCCATCAGGGACAAACTGATAGTCTGCAAATGTACAGCGAGTGGACTGCTGAGGACTGGGGCAAAGTCATTTTCTCTGATGTTTGGGACATCTGGAAAAAGGCCTGTCCAGAGAAGAAAAGGTGAGTGCTACCATCAGTCCTGTGTCATGCCAACAGTAAAGCATCCTGAGACCATTCATGTGTGGGGTTGCTTCTCATCCAAGGGAGTGGGCTCACTCACAATTTTGCCAAAAAACAGCCATGAATAAAGAATATTACCAAAACACCCTCCAACAGCAACTTCTTCCAACCAACCAAGAACAGTTTGATGAAGAACAATGCCTTTTCCAGCATGATGGAGCGCCGTGCCATAAGGCCAAAGTGATACGTAAGTAGCTCAGGGAACAAATAATTTTGGGTCCATGGCCCGGAAATTCCCCAGACCTCAGTCCAAATGAGAACCTGTGGCCAATCCTCAAGAGGCAGGTGGACAAACAAAAACCCACTAATTCTGACAAACTCCAAGAAGTGATTATGACAGGATGGGTTGCCATCAGTCAGGATTTGGCACAGAAGTTAATTGACAACATGCCAAGGCCAACTGCAGAGGTCTT